TTATTAAATTCAATTTAATACTTACCATAAAACAATTTTGAAAATTAAACTAACTCCCTATAAGTTATGAAGTAGATAACATTAAATTAGAAACATAATTTCTTGAAAAACATGTATAAGTGTATTTTACACTAATAACGGTCACTATTTTAGAGATTTACATGATTATTATTTAACTTATTTGATATTTATTGAAACACAGTCAACTAGTATCATAATCACAATGTAAGAATATTTTGCAGATTAAAATAACTGATTTTTCCTTGGTTTTTTGAAAGATACTAGAATAATAAACTGTACAATAAAAGATACAAAGCATTTGTGCTTTTTTTTAAATCTGAAATCTTTTAAGCTATTTTAACATCTAATTTATTTATGTCTATTTTCTTTTCTTTAACTATTCTTCTAAGTTCATTTGCTTTGATAAACAAATCAATGTTCCTGCTGGTCTCAGCTTCATCTGCTAAAGCATCTACTTCTTCATTAATATCTTTAATGTCCCTTTGAAGAAATTTTTTCTTCTGCTTCATATAATCAATTTCTTCCTCAATAATATTTCTTTTCCTCTTTGAATTTTCAGATTTAGTTAAAGATTTTTGTTCTTCTAAATACTGAACTTCTAAATAACGAACTCCACTTCTTGCAGAAGCTGCTGCTGATCTCATTTCTTTATTAGTTTCGATATTAAGAACACCTCCAGAAAATTTTATGTAATCAAATACTGTACGTTGAAAAATGTATGATGAGTCACTTAAATTTTCAATTTCAATTGCTTTATTTACAGAGAAGCCCCTTTCCACAGAGGTCTGTTCATGTGACAAGATAAGAATACTTGTCACAGTGAATACTTGAATAGTGAAAATATACATTTTTTACTCTCTCTCTCTCTCTCTCTCTATATATATATATACATAATTTATTTTCTAAACAATATTGATTAATTGATTATATTATCTCCTAAGTTTAATTAAAGTAGAATCCATACTGGTAAGTTGTATTTTGAAAGATGTATATATATATATGTATGTATATACAGTACAAAGTCCGAGATCCAGACATCCAATATCTGGAATGATCTAAAATCCGGACCTCAAAGCCACCACCAACCAATTTTTTAGGGCTTTTTTGAAGGGAAGGGGTATGCTTTACGCACGCGCATTAGATTTTTTCCTCATCATAAAAAAACATGTCGGAAATCCCGATTCTTAATCTCAGTTTGACGCTAAATAAAATATCTCATTATTGAAGAAATAATTATTTTAGCATAAATTTGTGTGATTAGTAACTTGACTCCATAGCTGCGTATATGCTTGGCATAATCTCAAAACGAAACATTTGTTAATTTTACACCAACTAATATTTTATATCCTTGATGCCGAAATCGCGAATCATTATTTATTGTATTTTGCTTTCATCACCGCATGTTTATCAACAGATGACATGATGAATCATGCAGCGACGCCAAATAACAGAGTATTATCCGATTACAGATTTAAGTTTAATGCGCTAAAATGTTGACAAGGGGAGATTTAGCAGAAATTTCTTTCCTTATGCTAAAAATAGATTTTGTTAATGATACTCATAGGACAAACGATTATATTTAGTGCTATTTGAATTAAGAATAACTGATTTGTTATTCACATAAAGCCAGAATCAGCACCAGATCTCGCATGGCCGCACCAGGCGGCAGAATTTAGCGAAGTGAAACAGAAGTTTTTCATTGCGATGACAATGCCCAATCATCAATCAATTAACGGAGGGCGAAATCTGTAGTATGATTCTAAATCCAGAAAATACAGCTACCGATAGTGAAGAAAGTAACAGAGAGGTTACTGAACGAGAAAAAATTTTGATTGACAAGTTATTCGGAATTCTCGACACAGCAATTACAGGACTTGAACAATGGAACTTAATACCTGAACAAGAAATTATATGTCTATAGTATTAGTCTAAAGTATTAGCAGAGAAAACAAATCAATCAACTCACATTGAAAGAAATGTTTAATAAAGTAAACATATAAATATTAAGCTCTTTTCTTTTGTAAATTTTGATACCCTTTAAATCATAAATGCTTCATTATACAACATTTTATATATAATACGGAATGTATACTTTCAGTTAAACTTCTACCCAATAACTTTAGTAATTCATGAAAGTTAATTTTGCGTCTAGTTTATTCAGGAAAATTAGTTTCAATTAGTTGTTTTCAGCTTTAAAAATATTAAAATTTTTTAAATTAGTTAGTTGTTTTCAACTAATAATTGTATCGCCATTAACAAAAATAATGCATTACTATCAACAGCATAGGATTAAACCAAATACTTAATTGTCTACTGAAGCTTCAAAATGTATTTCTGAACTTCACTTTTTCTCGGCTAAAGTTTTAAAGTACACCGAATTTGCCCTTGGCGACCTAAAATCGAAATGGAGCCAACACATTTCTCGCGAAATCGATAACAGACCCTCTGCAGAAATAAACTCATAATCCCGATATCCCATACATATAGTATGTGCAAAAGAGAATAAACTCCGTAGAAGGTGATAAAAAAATTAATTTATGGCTTAATTGAAACAAACGCAGAAATTAAGCTAAGCAAAACCGTGTAAAAACAAATTGAAATGATAAAACGAAACTTAATTTTCATGTGAATTTTCAGTGCTGACTCTCCCATTCTAGAAATTTCAATTTGTTTCAGACAAAGACCACATTTAGCTTTATAAGGATTGTCATCCATCAATATCCAGTCTTTGTAGTCAGCTTGATGAAGCCACAGTTTATTGAAAATGCACTTTCCAGGCATCTCGTTCCTATTGGCGTCGGAAGGGTTGTGGCCTTCCAGGTTGGAATTGCTCTAATTTTGGCAAATATTTTCAGAATCCCCCCCTTTTTTTTTCTCGAGCACCTTCATCATCACTTTCGCCTCTTAAAGAACTTCCGGCTTCACGCTTTCGTCACAATCTGCCTAAATTTATGGATAACACCTGTTTCGAAAGATTGGGTGAATAGCCAATCAGACACCGATACTTTCGTTCGGGTAGCTAATTTTTTTTTTTTTCGTTTGCAACGCAAATCCGCCAACAGATTGGTTAAGAGCCGTGTAATTTTAATTCCATATTCATGAGAAATTGAAATTCACACTTAGAATGGCAATCATTAGAAATGATAAGAAATGTCAAATGAGCAAAATTAAGGACCGTTTATTAATTTTGGCCAAAATTAATGACTTTTAAGAACCAAAAATCATTTTTGAAAAAATTAAGGACTTTTCAGGACCATACGAACCCTGTTACATGTATATCAGAACATTCAGCATTATCTATAATATTACATCAGTGCAGTGAAATACACTCATTCCCATAAAAATTTGCGCACCACAAAAGAGTTGTTAGAATAAAACAAAATTTTACATATGTAAGTACTACTTTGATATAAGTAAATGATTAGAAAATCAAAGAAAAGGGGATAATTTATTGCAGAAAAAAGTACACATGAATGGAAATTTTAGTACTCTGTTAGGTCACCTCTAGTGCAAATGCATGATGCGATACGAGCGGGCCTTGAGGCATGCACGTTCCGTATGGTGTTCTGAGACATCTCATTTCACAGTTGCTGTAAACGTGCATCTAGTTCGGCCAATCTCGTAGGCTGTCCAACTTGCCGTCCCAAACGATCCCAGATATGCTCGACTGGTGACAAACCTGGGGATTGAGTAGGCTAGGTAAGGGAGTTAATGTGGTGGAGGCAGTCTTGTGAGATCCATGCTGCGCGTATCCGAGTATTGTCTTGTTCAAAACAGGCTTCTGAGAGTACTGCCAGGAGTGGCAACACATGTGGCTGAAAAATGTCATGGACGTACCGCTGGCCTATCATTGTGCCATGGATCAATATTAGGGGTGATCATGTATCGTGAGCAATGGCACCCCATACCATCATGCCAATTGTGAGAACAGTGTGTTGCTGTAAAGCGAAGGCAGGAATGAGGCATTCACCATGGGGCCTCCACACACACAATTGTCATCATTCGTTGAATTGAATCTAGATTCATCACTGAAGATGACCTGGTTCCATTCCGTTAAAGTAGAATCCTATCAAGTGCGACACCACTCCAAATGGAGCTGTTGGTGGGTGGGTGTCATTGGCAGCAAATGCAATGGGTGCCGTGATAACAGATGTCCTTCAACCAGGCACCTTGTGATGGTTCGGGAAGACACCTACGACCTTAATGAAGCTGCTGCCTGTGTCTGGATAGCAGCCAATGTGGCAGTTGGCTCTACGTGTGCATGTCGTATGATGTGACGTTCTTCTCGATGAATGGTCTGTCGAGGGCATCCTGAGCCTGGTTGCTGTGTAAATGACATCTCTTCTGCTCACTGGTTCCAACACCTCCTCACAATAAAATCAGAACGGCCTACCTAATGAGCTATTCGCTGAGCTGACTACCCAGCTTCCATCAACCCGATGATTCTTCCCCTCTCAAACTCTGACAGCTGCTGATATTGGCTTTGATGTTGGCGTAACGGCATGTCTACCTCAGTGTTTCCTTAGCAAAAGATTAAGTACACTCAAACAAGCTCTGCTTACCTGTTTTATACTCCAAGAAAAACAAAGTACAATGCCCTCTAGTGGCATTATGCAATGTGCAATCACGCTGAATTTCTAATCATTTGCATATCTACCCAACATGTACCTTCATGCCAAGTTTCGTTACAATCCCACAACTATTTCTTGTGCTCAAATTTTTATGGCAATGAGTGATATGAGGCACTTCTGTAAACAGAAAACAAAAAAAGGGGGAGCTTTATTTAGAGGAGCTGAAAAATAGCTCAAACCAGTTTTTCTCCCTTTTCTTTTACTTTTTTTTTAATACAACAGTAATCTTAATCACATTTAAAAAACATTCTGAACTTACAATTTCACAAAAATAAACTATTTCGAATATGCATAGCAATTTACTTTCTTAACATTTAAAGGAAAATAAAATATGCGTAATTATCTTACCTATTATTATATAAATAATTACTGCGGATCTGTACACCATCTTCATATGACACAAATACAAAATGTATATCAATTTGCATGGTTGGGAATGGCACTGAAAATATTAAATTCATTTCAAAAATGAATATGAAAAATGCAAATCACAAAAGGCAAAATTTTGCTATAACAAGGTTTAACACACACATTAAACAAACAAACTATGTACGTAACCCTGCAATTTTTTATTAAAAAACAATAACACTACAACACTTTTTTTTCCCCTTAAGATAGAATAATATTTCTCTAGAATACAATCAACCACATATATATATAACTTTAGTAGCTCCTTCTTTTCCCTCCCCTTTTTTTTTTTTTTTTTTTTTGGTAGAAATATATTTTGGACTTTTTTAATATAAAATCAAGAACAAGACACTTAATAGCATATTCAAATAATTTCATCTGATTTAATCCCTACCCCCACCTTTTTTTTTAATCCGGGAGACAAAGAACTTAAATACTGAAATTAATTTCATAATTATGTTACATGTGATACATGTTTTCTTTCCAAGCAAATTTATTTATATAGGGAAACATGATTTCTTCTAAAGTCAAATCCTAATAAGCTCACTTTAATGCAAAATAATGAGAATAATAAAATGCTATTACCAACATGGAAAAATTCAAATGCCAAAGGTGAAGGATCAAATATTACAGCCACATCATACCCTGCCTTTTCAGCATTTCGAACCTAAAACACATAACAAATATTTATAGCATTCCAACAGCATTTACACTTGTATGCTTTCTACAACAAAAGAAAGATATATTTTGCATAGCTAAAGCAGCTTTGTTAATTGTTAAATACAAATTTGGCAATTATGAGTATGATTTCTAAGTGCAATCGCTCTTTTGTCACACAAGTCAGCATTACCCTTTAAGATTAAAAAGAAAGACTGCTATAAACCAAGTACTTTTACACATCATACTAATGATAAAATAACAAAAGCAGGCAGCTTTATTTAATGACTAGCATATATAGAAAGAAGACAACAATTACCAGTTAGCTGTGGAATGATAAGTACTATTATAATAGGACTAATATCTATTTCTTAAATATAATTATTAAACTTTGAGTATAGTGGCAGAAATATTACTATGGAACATACAACATTAAAATTTTAATGAATGATTAAAAATTATTAAAAAGAAACATGACAGACAGATAAGAAATTTATGGTTTTAATAGTAATTGAAAACAATAAGAAGATAATTATACAAACTTACAAAATTTTGACGATTCTGCAGTATTCAAATGCAATGTTGAATATTTTCATATATTTTCAAGTTAATGAATAAAAGTATAACTCACAGTTTTAAAACATCAAACATTATTCAAATGTATTCTGAGTTTGCAATTATTTTAGATGTGCAATATAACACTGATTATTGATTACATGAATGGCTGTAAATCAACACTTCTTTGAAGTGGGATTGGCAAAGATACTGTGGAATAATATACATCAAGAATAAACAAAATTCTCTGAATAATACTTTAAGAGAATTATATGATTTTTTTAAAATTAGTATTTACTTAGGGCATAATGATAATTATGGCCAGCAACGGAATATACAATTGATTATGATACTGGTCACAAAATAGATAATAGTGTTTAGGAAATTCTGGGATTAAAACAGCATTATTAATTATTAACACATACACTAAACAGCCAAAACATTATGACCACCTGCTGAATAACATGTTGCATGACCTTTGGCCAATAAAACAGCTGGCCTTGGCGTGGATGCCAGAAGTTCTTGATAGATGACTGGAGACAGGTTGTACCAAATTTCTACACAGCGGTCACACAAAGTCAAGATATTCCAACATCAACCACACCAACACAATTCGAGCCTTGTGACATAGGGCATTGTCCTGCTGGAAGATTCCATTTTCTGTTGGGAAGAGAGATGCAATGTAAGGCTGCAACTTATCCTCAGTTATGTTCAGGTAGTCTGCAGCTTTCATGGTCTGTTCCACCAAAAATTAGGGTCCCACAGCTGACAATGAGAATATCCCCAAAGCATAATACCACCCCCACCAGCCTGTGTAAGACCTGCTGTATGGGCGGGCGGTGGAGGGAATTGATCATCAGGAAAACTCTACCCTGCCACAACCATCACTGTGATGAATGAGAAATTGTGATTCATCTGACCAGGTAACTGTCTTTCACTTAACCATGCTCCAATCTCAAACCACTGTAGGCATAGCTGACAAAGACACTAAGTCAACAGAAGCAGACAAGTGGGGTGTCTGTTCCGCAGTGACACACCTAACAGTGCCACTGAACTGTGTTCTGAAACACTTGCGCTTGGACCTGCATTGTATTGGGCTGTCAGCTGAGCCACTGTCTGGCACCGATTTTGCTTTACTAACTGAGACAATCTCCGAAGCCCTTTTTCCTTGATAACCTGTGGATCTACCTGTCTACTGCTGGTTTGGCCATCATTTATCCATTTTGCATAACTAGCAATGGCAGATTGTGCAACCTACCAGCTGCACAGTTTTGTACATACTCATTCTGAATTTTTAGGCCAGTACAATCTGAACCTCTATCAAATTCGTTTAGAACAGCAGCCTTCCCTATCATTCGCAAAAGTAAGTGCAAGAATGATTCCTTACCTTCTCCAGCAGCAGTTAAATACCATTCTCACTTAATCACATGCCCTCCACATCATACAGACAAGTTCTTTGAAAAATACAGGGATTGTTATAACATTTTAGCTTGTCAGTGTATACTGCCATACTAAGAAATGGCAATAACAGAAAAAAAGAATTGCACCTTGATATTACACAGCTAATACTTAAATTGTTATTGTAATGTTTTTTAATATCCTGTGTATAAAAAAACAATAAAAATAATAGTGAAAAACATATCAGTCACAGGTAGCCAACATGGCTGGGACATAGTATTAGTTGTTTATGTAAATAACATTTGATACAACACTGCATTAGAAATGTCATCAAAATAAATATATTTCAGATTAAAACCTTGATATACTGTCTGCTACACGTGACTGACATAGCTCCAAAGGCTTAGTGAAGTGTCAGTTTCATGTACTAGACTCAGCATTATATGTGTTACAGATATAAGCAGTGAATGGAAATGGAGCATGATCTTCAGTTACTCAAGGATGATGAAATAATTCTAAATATTTAACATTAAAATAGAAGCAAAGTTGAGGAAGAGCAGGAGGAGGACTTCCAGTTCCATGAGAATTTAATTATCCCAGCAAAGTAAGGCACAACTAACGTTTAGAAGTATGCATGTGATGGGATTCATGCAACTTTGAATTACTGCTATGAAGAAATGGGCTTGCTAGTCAAACAGAAATTAGTAAATGGTTGCTTACTTTTAAAAAATTATAAGCTTTGTGCATTTTCACTCTTCATTTTGCTGGAAAATATAATTTAATGTTGAAATAAAATAATTGGTATTTGGAATTAAATTTGTATTCAGTTTAAAGTAAAAAAATGTAATGAATGCACTGAATACACTGAATAAACAACTTTATTCGAATTAGTAATTTTTTTTTAAATATGAAAGACCCAGCCTATATTGATTGAGAGTTTATAATAAAGGCTGTACTATATATATTGTCATTCATAAGAAGATGAAAATATTACGTTAATACTTATATAATAAAATGCTACAATAAGAACAAAATATAAATACCTTAGTAGTGAATTCACACATTTCTGTGCCATTTATAAGAACAAATTTAGAAACGGTAAAATTTGCAAGAAAGGTAGGTTCAGCAATTTTGGAACATGCTTCGGGTGGATCAGCAGCAAGAATGAAACCCTTCAAATACAGAAAAACTACATGTAAGCACTCAAATTTTTAAATTCTAAACATACAACAATAACATAAATATGATATTTCAGTGGGAATCATACTAAAGAACTAGTTACGGTTCAATATACACTCTAGAGAGAAACATGTAGGGAATTATACAATATAACATGGTGCTTGGGAATGTCATATGATTCACAAAAAAAGATAAAAAGGAAATAGTTATATTAGATTGCAGGTACATCCAAACAGAAGTTCCAAAATCTTAATGGTCCTTGCAACACACCCTTATTAACAGTTTCAATTGCTTCATTAATTTTGCAATAAGTCCTTTGATGGAAAAAGCTTGCTTTAAATACAAAATTTCAGATGATAAATCTTAAAAAATGAATAATCATGATCATATAAATATCAGTATGATAGTTAAAGTTTTAATCAGGAGACCAGATTTGTAAGGTTCCACTATCTCTAAAAGTTTAAGTTAATGTCCTTCTAAAAACTAGACTGATAAGCGAGTTATTACTCTAGTCTGAATTAAGACAACAGTCTTACAAAGTCAAAACAATCTTTATTTAACTCCTCAAATTAGCAGAAGGCACCACTTGTGTTAGAGAATATATAATTCTGCTACTTGGAGGTATTTAGAATAAAATACGTTAAAAGTCAAGTAAAGTAATCTGAGACAATATGCAAAGATAATCTACTTAAGCTGCATCAGGTTAATTGAATGGCATAGTTAAATGGCTGAAGCTTTGGCAGAGCTCGAGATAGTACGTCATTGCAAGTGAGACTGTCAGAAGCTCTAACACTAAACATTCAAACCTATAACTTAAAAATACTCAACAACTAATTTGAATTCTGGTGAGGACTACTGAAAGAAGAAGTCATAATAAATTTCAAATTATAATAACTAGTTAACTAACATAAAATCCTATATATTTATAAAATAAAGAGATGGCAGATTCATGGCAAACAGACAAACTTTACATTTTGCTTAAGTACAATTATTGTTAAGTTGTTATTCAAACCAGACGCAAAATGCAACCACCTTTTTAAACTGATCAGATTTCTTACTTAAACCTTAATGAAACTTCTGCTCTTACAATACCTTTCAACAGGAATCACAAATAGAAGTAGTGATATTTTTTTTTAATGTCACATCTTTTACAATTAAATTTCCAACAATTGCTTCTTTTCTTCAAAAAACAGCAGAAGTCCTTACAAGAAGGATCTTTAATTTGCATTTAGTATCTTTACAGTTCAAATACAGAAATGATTCCTCTAACCAGACTAAGACAGTGGGCGTGAACCCTTAGAGCTTCACAGACCACTACATATATAATTTTACATTTGGCAGACCACTTATATTAATTTTTTTAAAAAAAAGGAATACGTTTATGCAATTATAATCAGAAAACTACACATATTTTTTTCACATTGAAAAATTACATGAAAAGTACAAAAATCTTACCCTCTTGTACAGAAAGCTTCACATTTCCATATCAATGAAACGGAACTTCACGAAAAGCAAGAATAAACCAGCAAACACAAAGCAATATAAATAAACTGACAGTGTTATGGCACCAATTTTTAATTGTTGTAAACATAATAATCATCACTTGCTCAGCAATGGCGCCATCAATCAACAGTTAAACAAAACAAAAACAAAAACGGAAACTTCCAGTGATGCAATTATAAACAAGAATGCAGATGGTTCCCATAAAAATCCATCAAGATGCTTTTTGAGATGGAGAAAAATTGTATTATTAACGACCACAATAGCAAATGTTTGTAATTCAAAAGGACATATCCATGCATGCCATCTCTCACTTTCAAATGTCACTTGATACACCTGCAAAAGTAACTAAAAAGTCGCTAAATTCAGAAGGAATTTTGCCAAAAGTAGAAGCTAAAATTTAGAAAAAAAAAGTATAATCCAAATTCCATAATAGGTATTGTTACTCATCCTTTTCTAAACTGAATCTTCATAAAAATATTTAAACAGCATTTATTAGCTAAATTTGTATGATTATTTATTTTAGTCTCTATTTTTATAAACTTACATTCATTAAGATGACATTTATATTATTAAAGAAAGTAAGAAAGGAAACTAACTTAAATTAAAGACTAATATATAGCAAGAAAAAAAAAAAAAAATCTCATCACTGGATAAAGATGGTCATGACACTCAGAGGTTTAAACACAGATTAAACTATGGATTATTAAAACAATCTCTTAAGATTTCCGGACTTTTATGTTGTGAAAGGAATTATGACTCAAGAATTCTGAAGTACCTCAACAGGGTGGGGTTTCCCCCGCTTTCTTTCTTTTTTCTTTTTTTCTTTTAAATGCTGGTGATAAGAAAAGCTTTCTTGTCTTCAAATTTCCTAACTATGGTCTGTACTCATAGTCTTAAAACTACCTTCAACTTCAAAGTAAAAACATGAAAATGTTGAATATTTCTTATTAATTATTAGTTCACATCAACTGGTGAAATGCCTGCATTTGTTTACATTTGCTATTAATCAAATACAGTCAAAAGTCGTTAATTTGGACACTCATAATCTGGAATGATCTATAATCCGGACCTCAAAGCTACAAACTTTCTGCTCATGTGTCGCGTTGACGCATGCGCATAGGCGTTCACGCCTGCGTATAAGACCTTTACGGTTTCGCATAATATGTTTACGCATGCGTGTTTAATATATAACGGACGGTATAAGCTAAAACTATCTAATTATCTATTTCAGTTAATGTTACAGATTGCATTCTTCCTTAATCTTTGAATTGGATCCGGGTTATTATTTTTTGCACACTGTTAGAGCAATTTTATAAAAGTAAGCTTGAACTTTCGATTATGTCAAATAGAATTTCCGATGCTGGAGCTCCCAAAGGATCTACAAAGCGAAAGCATGTTTCGATGTCCATCAAACAAAAAGGTGGAATTGCTGCAAAAAATGGATAAAGTCATATCCTTTGTTTCTCTAACCATCCCTAAATCTGTTTATCAATTTCACGCTGCTCTTCGGCGGGAGGGAGAACGCAGCGGCGCGCAATGAATTGGAAGTTGATCTGTCAGCACTATCCTTACCTTCAGGGCAGATGTTTTTATTTTATTTCGCTTATAATTCCTTACTAAATGTTGTATTTCATCTCGATCTACTCGGTCTTTGATATGATTTAAATCAAATTCCTCCTCATTATAAATATCACGAATACAAATCAAATAGTTTTCTGGTTGCAATTTTCTAATTTCGACTATGCCTAATGTATGCTTTACGCATGCGCGCGTTGAAAGAAATGTTTAATAAAGTAAACAAATAAATATTAAGCTTCTTTTTTTGTAAATTTTGATACCCTTTAGATCATAATTGCTCATTATTTTTCTAAATTACGGTTTCATATTTTTAATTTTATGATTTCTGCATGCGATCTTACCAGATTTAAACTGATGATCTATAATACGGAAAAATCGATAATCCGGAATCGCCAAAGTCCCGACGAGTCCGGATTAAAGACTTTTGACTGTAGTATTTATCTGCCATTAGTACATCCACATGCTAACAATTCCTGTAGCAGACAGAATGCTTTTGGGAAATGATAGAAAATTATGTTTCTAGATTTTGGTTTTGGTTTATTTGATTACAGCAAAGCACTCGAGGGCTATCTGCCTAAGGGGAGGGATACTTTTGTGGATGACTTTATAAGGGAAATTCATGTACACGTTACACATGGGAAAAACCATGAAAATGACCATGCAGCCAGCCCAATCACTGAGATTCAAGCCCTGGACTGAACTACAAGTATTCCACAACTTTGCCATTCAGCCGCTAGTGAGCGTTTATGTTTACCACTTGGCTGCTAGTGGGTGTATGAAACTGATACATTTAGAAAAGAAATTTATTGACATAAGTACAAAAGTCAAATTTTGTACTAATAAATGCTGTAAATGACATAAGTACAAAAGTCAAATTTTGTACTTATGTCATTTACAGCATTTATTAAAATTATGCCATAATATTAAAATTATGCCATACAGCATTTACTAAAATTTTGCATAGTTTATAAATTTTATAAAACTTTTGGTCAATCTATGTTAGGATATAAGCCTTTTATAAAATGAGAGACAGACAAAATTGAATTTAACATAACCACATTTAACATTATTATTAGTAATGTGAATCTTTTGCAAGGGAAAAAACTGGAAAAGGATTTCGAGTTGAAATTACATTACTCATAAAAAGAACTACAGCTCTTCAGTCACGAAACTTTAAATTATAAAATATAATCATTAGTAAAAAAGAATAGAAAATGTATTAATGGAATATTATCCCATGAAACCTAAAAATCTGTAAAAATAGTTACATACAGCAATATACATAATCAATTGTTCTCCATATCACAAAAAGACACAAACATTTCTTCCTCTCACCCTTCACTACTTCCTCGTAACGCATGTAAATATTTACATTTGGGATGGCCAAAAAGGAACCTGCATTGCATCTACTGATTGAAACATTTATGAAACCATTTTTTTACTACGCAATTTCACCTCCTTCTTTATACTCCATGGTTCTGGCAAGTGCAAATATATTTTAGAATGAAGAATGTGATGCCAGATATATGATTTACCATCTAGTAAATAAAAGCTGTGCTTCATATTATGAAGGACTATCAATACCTTTTATGCATTAAGAACATTTCATTCATTTAGTACATACTGCGATATCAGCCAAAAGATTATGACCTTTTGTGGCAACTGCTTATTTTTCTTTTTTATAATTTCTTGCATACTATTGAATAATAATATGATCTGCAGAAAATTAACTCCTAGAAATTGTGCATAACACTTTACCACTATCACTTTCAACTAGGGTTTAATTTCTAAAACTAGAATAGAGTTTTCTAAAATGGAATTGATACATGGAATAATCAGTTCCATGTTCAAAAGATTTGGTTATAAGCTTGGCATTACCCCACTACCATTCATATGCAAATTATTAACATCA